GCATTGATCAACCTAGGGGTGTTTGTTGCTTGGAGGTAATAGAGGCCATTATGAAGGCTAGCAGAACCAATCACCTTCTTCTGCTCCAGATCCTGTATGAGACACATGGTAGAATGAAATGATAAGCTTAGTTTGGTAGTGGAGGTGAGTCTGCTCACAGAAAGTAGGTTGAAGGAAAAATTGGGCACAAACAGGGCATTTTGTAGGATGATAGCATCACTGCATATGGCTGTGCCAGAATGTGTTGCTTGGACTTTATTGCCAGTTGGGAGGGTTATATATACATTGGTCAAGGGCTGTGGGTCTTGGAGATAAGATAAGGAACAGATAATGTGGTCTGATGCTCCTGTGTCAACTATCCATATTGTTTGATGTGATGAGAAAGCAGTAAAGATGGGGGTGGGGAGAATACCTTTGTTGGTGACAAAAGCAGCAGCAGAGAAAGAAGTGGAAGGTTGTGATGCATTCATCAGGCGCATGAGTTTGTCATAATCAGCTCTAGAGAGCTTGACCTCATCAGATGGTGTAGTAGTGGCAATGGAATTGATAGAAGGTCTTCCTCGACCAGAAATTGAGTTTGGATTCCTTGGCACAAAGTTGGCAGGGTATCCATGCTTCTGAAAACATTTGTCTTCAGAGTGACCTCTTCTTTTGCAGTAAGAGCAAGTAATGACAGTGCCTGGGGTGGTGATGGAGGGTCTTGTCATGCCAGGGGGCCAACCATGTTTTTGAAAACATATATCTTCAGTGTGTCCTTCTCTCCTGCAGAAAGTGCAATATGGTGGTTTGGAACTGGTATTTGGCCTTCTGTTACCTCCTTGAAAAGCCATTGCTGATGGATCAGTTTGCATTGATGCTATTAGCTTGCCAGATTGAGTACCATATAACTGTCTTTCATGCTGGAGCATTCTTTGAAAGACCCTGTTGATGTTAGGTAGTTCATCTCCAAAAAGCACTTGTGCTCTAACACCAGAGAAGTTCTCATTGAGACCTCTGAGGAACTTAATCACATAACTGGTTTCTTGATACTGGAGAACCGTGAGCATTGCAACACAAGTATTGTGACTGGTTGGAGTGCATGAACATGGCAGGAGTGGTTGATAGTTCTCTAACTCATCTTTCAAGGTAATCATTCGACCATAATACTCAGTCACAGTTTGGTTACCTTGTTGCAGGGAAGATAAAGCTTCTTCAAGTTCTGCAATCCTAATCAGATCTCCAGATCCATAGCGTGTTTGAAGACTTTTCCAAGCTTCTGCTGCTGTCTTGCTGGAGAGGATGGTTTTGCGGATCTCTGATGAGGTGGACTGCTATATCCAGCTGAGAATCATGGCATTGTTGCGGGTCCATGCTCCATGTCTTGCATCAGTAGCTGGAGGTTCAGGTATTGTACCGTTAATGAATCCCAGCTTGTTTTTGGCTGCAAGAGCATTAAGCATGGCGCGACTCCAATCATTGTAATTTGTGGCTGTGAGTTTTTCAGAAACGAGAACAGATCCAAATTTCTTAAGGAATTGTTGACAAAGAAGAGAAAATGGACTGATTTGGAGAAAGTAACACTCACACCAGAGTGTAGTGCTGTGATCCAAAATAAATTGCCAGAGAAGAGGGAAGATCCGGGGAGCTTCACCATCCCATGTATTGTTGGTGAGACAGAGTTTAAAAAGTCGCTTTGTGATCTTGGAGCCGGCATAAACCTCATGCCATATTCTGTTTATAAGAAGCTGGGACTCCAAGATGTGATCAAGCCGACTCGCATCACTCTACAACTGGCTGATCGATCAGTAAAGATCCCCAAAGGCGTGGTGGAGAACGTGCTAGTCAAGGTGGGAAAGTTCATCTTCCCCGTCGACTTCGTCATTCTGGAGATGGAGGAGGACAGGGAAGTACCTCTCATTCTTGGGAGACCCTTCCTAGCTACGGGGGGGGGGGGGGGGTGCTCTCATAGATGTCCAAAAGGGCGAGCTGACATTCAGAGTCTGTGGGGAAGAGGTAAAATTCAACGTATACCATGCAAGTAAGTACCCTAATGACTCTAGTGATGTGTTTGCGGTGGATGTCATAGAATCATGCACTGATGCGGTTTTGAACAATGACTATGATGCTGATTCTGAGTTTGATGATTCTGATAATAAACTTGATGAGCTAACCGTGTCAAAGAGGGCACAAATTCTCGAAGCATTGCCTATGCAGGTGGAAGGTGATGAAAAGGCTGGGTTTACAAAGCCAATAGTTCCATCTCGGATCCAGCCTCCGGAATTGGAACTAAAACCATTGCCAGATCACCTCAAGTATAGATATTTGGGTAAGGATTTCAATCTTCCTGTTATTATTCCTTCTTCACTGACATTGAAACAGGAAGAATACCTGCTTGAGGCGCTGCAGTACCACCTACGCCTCGCTAAAGGGTCTAACATGCCAGCTAAGAAGGTCATACCCAATTTTCGCACACCTGGCCCTGCAGAGGTGACTCATATGCTGGATGGAGGTTATGCGTTCTATCATTGCTCGGGAGGGTATTCTGGATACCTTTCCATACCCATTGGTTGAAAGCTCCATGAACTTCAGGCTGAGGACGTTAAACAAGCGCTTCTTGGGAGGCAACCCAAGGTAAGTTTTCTTTTCTTTATTTTTTCTTTTTTGTTGTGTCAAACTCGTGCATGTTTAGATTAGGAGTTGAACATTAGGTACAATGTTCCATCCTGAGTGTGGGGTGGTGAGTCTTAGTGTTGTTTGTCCCTGTTGCATGTGGTAAAAACAAAAAAACAAAAAAAAAATGCCATTAGGTTGAGCACAGCTTGCCTGTGCAAAAAGCAAGCTGCCTGTGCAAAGCTAATGGCTAAAAAAACACCTAAAAATCAGAAAAATTAAAAACAAAACCTTGTACTCTTGTGGTAACATGATGTAAATGACCGTGATGCCTTGAAAATGAGTTTGTGCTTGAATGAAATCATCAAAATCACCCCCACTAGTGTTGAATTTCATAGTTCTTCACAATGAGCTTTATGTTTTGACTGACTTGATATGCTTTGAATGAACAAACTCTTTTAGCAACATTCTCTTTTGTGAGGATAGTGTAATGACTTTTGGTGAAGTAGTTAGGTGGAGATGAACTGTATCTTTATAAAATGAGAAAACACTACCTGACAAGTAAAAGATAAGAAAGTTGCCATAATAATTAAAGTGTGGGTAAAATGCCAAAATCGTGTGAGGCAATCACTCATTGCACATGGGGATGAGGAAAGATTCAATTGAGAATCGGTTCGCGACCGTACGATGTTGCTTATCAAGTACGATCCCCAGTTGAGTGAAGTGCCATTTGAGGATGCAATGACCCTCCACACGGACTGAGGAAAATGAGTTGAAAGAAGCCCTTATGCGAGTGCTAAGAAGCAGAAATTGCTCTTGCTCGGTCACCGGTAGTAAGAAACAAATCCCACTTGTACTAGATACGACCACTCGGCAAGCAAAATCAGAAAGAGAGAAAGCCTCTCCTTGTCATAAAAGGTAGTGATGTGCTTAAAGTTAAAATCATGTTTGCGAAAGGCTTCCCCCATTAGTTTTTGAGACTCATGCTTAATTAATTGCTTATGATTGGTGTGAGTAAGCCAGACTGTCCTCACGAGATATGCACCTCACTGATGTGGTTAGATTCTCCTAATAACTGTTGCACCATAAGTTGTTAATCACCCACTACCGACGATCGAAATTGAGTGTTGCTAATTGAGTTTTTGGATGGATTTGAGTCAGTCAATGACAATGGTTGCAAAGAACTTGAGTGTGGGGTGAAAGGTATGATCATTAAAGCACAACTTGTTCTTTGAGAAAGAAACTACTGATTACAACAAGAGTACAAGGAAAGTTTTGTTTTGTTTGAGTGTTTGATTAGTGAGTCTGTGGTGTGTCATTGTTTTGGTTGGTTATGTGTTTGTGTCTTTTGAGTCGTTGCTTAGGGACAAGCAACAATTGAGTGTGGGGTTGTGATAATCGGCTTTAACATATTGAATTCTTGGACTTTATGTGACTATCTCATGGTATGTTTTAGCCAATTGGTGCTATTTTAGGGCTCGTTAACCCGGGAATGGTTGAAAAACCATTACTGCCTAGTGCCATGAGTTTGATGTATTACAGGTAAAGAAAGCACGAAAAAAGAAGCGAGTGCACAAGCAATCAATCGGGCTCGAATCATTGGTGGAATATTCACTTGGGCTAGGAGGTTTCTTTGGGCCAAAGTAAAGGAAGTTGGCCCAGGGAATGGACACGGAATTGGATTAATTGGAAAAAAATTGGACACGAATTCTGAGGGAAATTAATCTGGGAAGAGGGAAATCTCCTCAGCGGCCATTATTGGGAAGTTTTTGGACACGAACGCGGGGAAAGAAAAGAAGTCTCTGGGGGTGGCTTTGATTTTGGAGAGGGACCGGCAATTAAAAGGGAGAGAGGCAGGTTGGGACACGGATTCTTTGGATTTTACGGGGACAAGTCTCTGGCGGCGGAAATCTCTGGGAAAAAGGGGAAGAAAGCAGGACAGCGAGCAGCTTGTTAGCGCGGGAGAGAGCGAACTGAAAGGAGAAGTAGTTCAACCCTGCGATCATCAGCGATCCCGGAGTGAATTCTTTCTAAACTTTTATCTCTCGATTAATACGATGATGATTATGAACATGATTGTGTGTTTTATTTTCGTCATGAACTAAACCCCAATTTCTGGGGGAAACACCATAGGATGTAGCTATTTTATATTTGATGGATTGATTCATAATTCTTTTCTTCCAATCTCTATTGCATGAAATTGCTTAATGCTTCGTGTTGACTGGCCACCAATACATCGATTTGTAGTTAATTAGGTTATTAGCGACAGTGAAACCCTAATAACTGAACCTATTTCATGTGACATAGTAACTTATCGAAGCGACAGTGGATTAAATAAGGTGCTATGCGGCCTTAAATAGGATATCGGTCTTCAGACTAAATAATTAACTCATTGAGCTACGACAGTAGGATTTGAATTAATTGCTTAGTATGTAGTAATTCCCGATAGGGATAGCTAGCACAGTAGTGATATCCTGGCTGTAGAGATATGGATTAAATTGATTAGAATGTGTGAATTAATCTGGATAGGATAGGTAGTGAATCCCGGTGTTTCTCCCAGAGTTTTCTCCCATTGATTTAAACCCGACACTTTAATTTGCTTGTTCTGTTTAATTACTTTGCTATTAGATCATAGTTTCATCTCATTAAACATTTTCACATATAGTTTGCTCAATAAAAATTGATAGAACTTAAGGTTGTACCAGTCCCTGAGAGACGATACCCGAACTTTCCGGTTTACTACGAGATAGGATTTAGGCATTACGCTTTTGCCCTATCAATCTCCAGGAAACCGGATTCAGCAATGGAGGTTTTCGATTTGTTGCCCAGGAGGGTCAAGCGGACTTCGAAGCAGTACTTGGTTTTGGTTGATGGGTTTGTGAAAAGTAAGAGGTTCGATGGGGTGAAAGCTCTGTTTTAGGCATTGAAAGCTGATGGCAAGTACCCTAGCCGTGCAATGTTGATGGCTTTGCAGGAGTTAAGAGAGGCGGGATTTGTGGATGAAACAGTTCAGCTCCGAGAAGGAATGCTCCCTGATGAACGGATCAAAAGCATTGTTTCTTGCGAGGATAATTATGATGAGGACAGTGATGAGAATGAAGATGAAGTTATCAAGTTGAAACCATGGTTAGATCCAAAAGCTTTAGCAGATGCTTTGAGTAAATGGAGCCCTGAAGTTGTGTCAACTTTGGAAGATGCAAAATTCGTCTGGACTACTCGTTTGGTTTGTAAGATCCTCAGAAACTTGAAATCTCCTGAAACAGCTTGGGATTTCTTCTGTTGGGCTGCTTATCAGTCAGGATTCACTCACGATGTTTACACGGTACAGCGAATGGTAACAATATTATCCCGGCATGGGAAGGTTGAGCGGGTTGATTAATTCATAGCAAAGATACAAAATGAAGGGATGGAATTGCCATTTAGTACCATCAGGTTGATAATCGAGTTCTATGGTGTTTCAAAGTATCTGGATGCTGCTTTAAAGATCTTCCATGAGGATAGATTACTTTGTAGTTACATAAACGAATTCAACTTGATGATTATGTATTCAGCCCTCTTGCGAACTCTGACCAATTGCAAGAGAGATCCTGATGCTTTGGATGTGCTTGAAGAGATGCTCAGTTGTGGGATATGCCCTGATAGTCAAACATTTTCTGCGTTGATGTACCATTTCGGGTTACAAGGAGATGTCAAGACAGTGCAGAAACTATTTATGGCTGTGAGACAAAATGGTGTTGCTGTAGATGGTACATGTACTAAGTACTGATCCAAGCTTATTGCAAATGTGAGATGGCTGCTCTTGGTTTAGAGTTTTTGAAGACATGATGAACTCGAATCTGATGCCTGATTTGGCTACTAAGGATTTACTGGTGAAGAGTCTTTGGAAGAAAGGAAAAAGAAAAGAGGCAGCTAGTGTTGTGGAAAGCTGTGAAAAAATTAGCCTAGTCCCCCCACTTGTGTTGAGAGGACATTTATGGACAGTGAGCGGTGCTGATCTCACTAGAGTTTATGAACAACGATAATAGGCTGTGAAGGTGAAGACAAGGTGCCAGACTTCCTGCACCAAATCATGTAGATTAGATATCACAGTTACTGTCTTTTTCTCACACTCCCTGTCTGTCTCTCCATCTTGCAGTTAGAAGAACGGGTGAAAGACGGGTGATCAAATGATAGGGTGGCTTGTCATCAACCTTGATAACCCTTCAACGATTTAATTAATCATCATTTGGCTGATTTCGGTTGTCTTTTTGGAAAACTTCATAGCCAACCAGCTGTAATACTGTAAAAAATTCAGCATACCGCAGCATATCAGACATCTTTCCTGTCGATTACCATGAGATCAGTCACTCAAGTAACTTACTAGTCCTGATGCATGTTGTCTTGACCAACTCTAAAAAGCTTGTGATTTTATGAATTTACTCACTCAAATATAGTCTGCTTCTATGCAAACCCAATTTCTCATATAACCTTATGTTTTAGTTTGTGGAATCAATGGACCATCCGGATAGAATTATCTACACTTTTATATGTTTCTACCATGTTAAGAATACGAGTAAAGATCACGATTGAATAAACATGGATAAGATCACGATTTTTTGCACATTTATAGTTCTCTACCTTGGGTTTGACGGGAAGAGTGAACGTTAAAATCTTTACAAATTACAAGATGCAGAACTTTTTAGAGATGGTAGAATAAAGAACTAGGCTTTGAGATAGATATGACTATGAAACATCATTTTGGTTGTTACAAACTTAGAGATGACATATTTTGATTATTTTGTTCCTTTCCTTTCGTGCTGCAGCAGATAGATTTTGCATCTTTCATATAGTCTCACAATTCTGCGCTTTGCTGCTAAACTTCAAATTCTACCTTGCTTTTCAAGTTGATGTAAACTTACTTGGCCTCTCATTAAATTAGTAGCTCAGCATGGATATAAAACAGGATAACGCCTTGCCGTCCTAGGCCTGTTTCTGATTAAACTAATGCAGCGGTGTTTTCATGCAATATTGTTGCTGTTCACGCTATGCTGACAACGATTTTGAATTCTTTTTCCCAGAAGACAGCCGGCAAAAAGGAATTTGCTGCCCTGTTTTGATCATGATACTGTTCTCTCTGGAGGTCATTGTCAAGGCAGCCATCAGCTGCGGAACTCAAATTCTGTAGCTCTTAAAATATAGATTTCAGGAAATGTCTAATTTATTGGGAGGACAGAAAGCAACAACACACGATAATGACGGCAAGCAGCTACATTTCACAATCATCTCGAATTTGGTAACAGCTCATTTAAGCTCAAAATGGGGTTGAACACAACTTCCAAACCTTCAACCATGTCGGCCATCTCACAACTGATCTTGCTTCTTCTGCTCCTAGGTTGTTCCACTGCGACTATCGTCGTATCTCAGACAGCCACCAACTTCTCCTGCTCTCGTTCTGGGGAACCTACTCACCCTTGCAAGACATATCTATCTTACCATGTCCAGTCACCAAACTTTCTAAACCTTGGTAGCATCTCTGATCTCTTTGGTGTCAGCCGCCTGTCAATAGCAACTGCCAGCAGCTTGGCCTCCGAGGATTCAACATTAGTTCCGGACCAGCTCCTGCTTATCCCTGTAGAGTGTGGATGCACAGGCAACAATTCCTTCGCCAATCTCACTTACCAAATCAAAGGAGGCGACAATTTCTACTCGGTCTCCGTCACGCCACTGGAGAATCTCACCAACTGGCAACTCGTTGAAGCATTAAACCCTGGCGTGACTCCAACCCTTCTCCATCCTGGTGATCAAGTCACATTCCCTCTACTCTGTCAGTGCCCTTCCAGGATGCAGATCGACAACGGAATCGAGTTTCTCATCACTTATGTCTTGCGGATAGATGATACTCTCAAGTCTGTTGCTGAGAAGCTGGATTCATCAGTCAACGAGATTCTGCTGGCAAACAACTACATGAATTTCAGTGAGGCGATCAACCATCCAGTTCTGGTCCCAGTCACTAGCTTACCTGTTCTCAAGTCGATGAATCCATCTTCGCCGAAAACAAGGGAATCAAAGCTACATTGGATCATTGTTATAGTTGCAACCACTATTTCCGCTCTTGTGATTCTCTATCTAGGGTTTGTCTTTGGTTGCCGACGAAGCAGCAGCAACAAGAGGTTCCTCCTGGTGCGCAAGAACTCGAATCTAGAAACTGATGAGCTGATGATGCGACAAGCCAAGAAACTCAAGCAGAAGAAGGTTGATTACCTTCCAGGAGTTTCAGGGTATCTAAACAAGCAAACCATTTACGACGTGAATACGATCTTGGAAGTTACAATGGATCTCCATGACTGTTACAAGATCGGAGGTTCAGTCTATAGAGCCACCATTGATGGGCAGGTGTTAGCTGTGAAGAAGTTCGAAGGGGAAGCAACTGTAGAGCTGCAGATTCTGCAGAAAGTCAACCACGCTAATCTGGTGAAGCTGATGGGGGTTTCATGCGATCAAGAAGGAAACTTCTTGTTGGTCTATGAGTATGCAGAGAATGGTTCGCTAGACAAGTGGCTGTTCAGAAAATCTGCACCATCCTCATCATCATCTTCAGGATCTTTATCGTTCCTTAGTTGGAGCAGAAGGGTGCAGATAGCATTAGACGTGGCGAATGGCTTGCATTACTTGCACGAACATGTTCAACCGAGCAGCATCGCGCATCGTGATATCAGGAGCAGCAACATATTGCTGGACTCAAAATTCAGGGCGAAGGTGACGAATTTCGCTTTGGCGAGATTCGCAGAAGAGTCCATAGCGCCGAAAGTCGATGTCTTCGCATTCGGGGTGGTTTTGCTGGAGCTGCTTTCAGGGAAGAAGGCGATGGTGACGAAAGAGAGCGGCGAGATTGTGTTGTTGTCTAAAGAAATCAAGACTGTGTTGGAAGTTGCTGAGAAAAGGGAGGAAAATTTGAAGAACTGGATGGATCCTAACTTGGAGAACATGTATCCCATCGATGGTGCCCTGAGCCTGGCGATTTTGGCAAGGGCCTGCACTTTTGAGAAATCTTCTGCTAGGCCAAGCATGGGAGAGGTCGTGTTTAACCTCACAGTGCTGACGCAGTCGCCTCTAGATGATTCGCTGGAAGAGGTGTGGCCTACTAAGCTTGATGCTGAAGAACTTTTGCAGATCATCAGTCCAGTTACTGCTCGTTAACCGCTGTATATAAGTTCTGCTGGATATGATTTCCTTTGAAAAAAACGTACTGCAATGTTAGTTTGTACAGTGTGCCTCTCTTGGGCTTTGAAATTACAGGTCGTCTTGTTGTGAAGTGAAAATATAAGAAACCCTAATTGAAGAACTTACTTACAATGCTACCTCAGCAGACCTTGCAAGACTGAAGTTAGCAATCTTAGCCCTCAAATCAGCATCCAACAGGATATTACTGCTGCTGGTATCTTTATGGACATACGGTGTTTCTGTGAAGTTGTGGAGATAGCAAAGTCCATTAGCAATATCCAAAGCAATCTGAAGCATAGGGCTCCAACTCTGAGCTTCATCTACTACACTACTGCCACTTTTGTGAAGCCAATCCTTCAAGGAGTCGTTCTCCATGTATATGTAAAGAAGGTAGTATTCATCCTGGTGTTAGTATGCAGCAGCAAGACTTATGAGATAGAAATGGTTGATTTTTCTCAGCAGATTCACTTTGCTTGAAACGTTTCTACTCGTCTTCTTGATAGCTACTTCTGGCCCACTGATCATGCCCTCGTAGACTCGTTTGTTCACCCGAGAACTGAAATCACCAGTCGCCTGCTTTAGCTCCTCAAATTCGTGGATTCTAAGCCCTTGGTCAATAGTGGAGTTGCCATTAAAGAAATCTTCAGGCAACACCAGCTTCTTCTTTCTTAACAGCGAGATGATTACCCATGCTAGGATCAAAGACAGGACTGTAGAGGAAACTCCGAGTACAATCCAACCAGTATTTCGTTGTCTCGATTTCCTTAATTTCCTACCCTTGAATAGCTGAACTGGAACAACTAAAGGAGCATCAGAAGGTGGTAGAGAGTGGATTATGGTCCATGAGCTATTAGGCTCAGATTGCAGTGGAATGAGAAGTGTTATGAAACCCAAAAGGATAAATGGTCGGATCATTGAATTCTCCAAACCCATTTGCATGGTTGAAACTCTGAATGCTAGCATTGAATTCTTTCGCTGATGCCAGCAACTCCAACTCTCCAGTCAACAGGAACTTGGTGCCCTTTATCGTCCGGTATCTAGTTGGACAAGCACATCTGAGGGGCACTTGCATTCTCTGACCAACTTCTAACTCAGAATCCTTGAATTTTCTGTTCTCTTGCATCAGCACATTGCAAGCTGAAAGCCCTTCATAGGTGTCATTTGAAATCTTGAAGTGTCTTCCGCTTGAAGTCTATAGGAAGAGTTTTCCAAATCATATGAACCAGTGCACGTTACTGGAATCAAAATAACACTTGGCCCATTGGTGGGGTTCTTTTGGGATCCGAGACATAGTTAACGCGACCGAGCTCGATGGAATCTGAACATGTCAGGTTTTATATTCTGGAGAGGGTGTTGTAAGGAGTTTGAGATCTGTACATGAGAAAGGCCTTGCAGGAGGGCTTTTCGCCATTGCAACTGTAGGGAACAGCTGCATCCTTGGAATCACAATCAAGAGCCAAGTTGCCTGAGTAGCTCTGCTGGCAGATGACGAGCTTTGTAACTGCACAGAAGAACATCTGGAGCCAGAAACTCAGCAGAAAATGATCCATCTTCAACCTCCTGCCAAAGTTAGAGAGGTGAATGGAAATTAGAGTTTCTAGGAAGAAAGTTTGAAACTTTCTGCATCAAACCTCATTTTTGGTAATAGAATTGGCAATGCATGTAATTAAACATCTCTCCATATAGGTAATGGAAAATCCTTTCTTTGAATCACAAATTATAGAAAACAACGTTTCTTACATCCAAGGTGAAAGAACCTCGTCTCTTGCATTGCCTCAATGCTGCCTCAAAAGAACATTTTTTTGGAAGAAGAAATCCGAATCATCATAAGATTACGAAGATAGAAACACAAAACTAAAGGCAAGAATTGGCCACTGAGAATTCAGCAGCTTCTGATATAGGCTCTACTAGAAGTCTCAACCATTTACTATATATGGAGAGGGCAATGCCTGCAAGAATTCAAGAGGGAAATGTATTTCTTTAGAAAATGACAGAAAATGATAATGGCAAATGGGAAGGACAAAGATAAGAGGCTGGAGACATATCATGACTAGAATGCTGACTCCTCGAGAGCCATTCCTGAGATTTCTATAATCTGAGATGTTATTAGAAGAAGACAATCCGTGGCAGATAAAGAATTAAAGATATAAACGTCTACCTGCTGAAGTTGAGGTTGAGGGAAATGAGAATTTCCAGGAAGAAAGCTTGAACTGCTGCTTCAAACCTTAATTTGTGGGTTACAGACTTAGTAAAGTTGTTTTCTTGACCGGACAATAATCTTCTCAAGCTATTGAAAAGAAGAACAAACATTAGTGGCTCAAAAGTCTTGCTACCTAATATAAACATATAATAACAATCATTCTCCAGCAGAGTGCTGGCCCTGCCTCCTTGAAGAGGGGAAACCAATACAATTGTCTTCATTTGCAGAATTGGTAGCCTTTACAGGATGACTTCAGAGTATAGGTAGGAAGTCGTTCTCACAACTATCTCATGAATCACTGAAAAAGAATTGGGAATGGAATATGAACAGACACAGTTGACCATTTCAACCGAAAAATAATCAAACTATGTAGCTGAGAAATGGACAGTTAACAAAAATCTAGAGCACCTCAACACAGAAACATGTGATTCTTCTATAGAAAGAAATGAAGTAAAGACTGTAAAGTTCTCAAAATGAAATCCAATCATTAAATCACATTTTTATACAGTACATAATAATTTGCAGCAGACTATTTCTAAGGTGAAAAGACCTCCCCATCTCGAGTCGCTATAATTCTGCCCAACAAGGCACATTCTTTAACTAGATCATAATAAAATTACAAAGTTCGAATAAATAGAGCCATCCCACGTCCCAACAACGCTTGGCAGCAAGCATATCATGAAATCTCCAGTGTAGTAATTCAGCAGCTCCTGAATAGCCTCATAAACGGATATTTACTATGAAAAGAGGGAAATGATCCAAGTTTTATGTATATGCCAAATGCAAAGGACAAAGATCAGAAGACAGGGGAAAAAACATCACAATATACAAAGAATGCTGACTTGTCAAGTTTCATCTTTGAGATTCCTATACTCTGAGATGTTGTTAGACAACTCCCACGAATGTGAAGCCGTCAAGATTCTTGAAAGAGATTGCGCGAGCTCGCTCATAGCTGGACGCTCCCGAGAGTTCTTTTTCAGACAGCCTTCAACCAGCCTCACTACAAAGCCAGCAAACTCTAATGGAAAGTTCCCTTCCATTGATGGGTCAAGAAATCCAGTGATATTATCTCGTCCATCTTGAGAAAGAAGAACTTCATTCACAACACCAGACAAACCATCAATTCCCTCCTTATACAAGGAAGCAACTTCTTTCCCAGTTATCATCTCCAGAAGAAGAACTCCAAATGCAAAAACATCAATCTTTGTAGAAACCAGACCATTCTCCAAATACTCGGGAGCCATGTAACCTTTCGTCCCGAAAATGTGCTTTGTAAGGTTAAAGTCCCCATCCTGTCCTTCGGCTGATCTTGCATGTGCCAAGTTTGCTATCTTGCCCCTGAAATCGCCATCGAGAAGCACATTCCCGGCTTTTATATCCTTGTGAACCTGTGGAGGACTCGTGAAACTGTGTAAATAGTCGAGTCCCAAAGCTACATCCACAGCAATCTGGATTCTTTGAGTCCAAGTCAATATCTTTCCACCGTTGCTGGATGAATAGATCCAATCACTCAAAGCTCCATTCGCAGCAAACTCATAAACCAGATACCAATTGCCATCATTAAAACAGACACCAGATAGACGAATGATATTGGAATGGTTGATCTTGTTGAGTAAATTTATCTCCTTGGTCACATCCCCATCCATTTTTTTTATAGCAGCAAGATCACCATTAATCTTGCCTTGATAAACAGAACCGTTGATCAAACATTTGGGGCTGAAATTATCAGTGGCAGCCACCACCTCCTCATATGTGTAAACTTGAATGGACTGAGCAATACTAGATAACCTCTCCAAGAAGAAACCTTCAGGCTCTTCCTCTCCCTTATTCTTCATAGACTTCTTCTCCACAGCCTCAAAGCTCTCGGAAGTAGTACCAGCTGGCTCCAACATAGCCTTCCTTCTCCGAAACCAAAGACAGTAAACCACAGTCCCAACGACAGCCAACGTAGCAACGATCCCTCCAACAACACCAGCAACGACATGAACCCACGTCTTGCTGGAGCTGGATCCAGGTGTAGATGGCTCGACCAGTGGAGGAGGGGGAGGGGAAGCTGGAGGTGGTGGTGGAGACACAGTTTGGATACTAGAAGGAGGGTTTTGCAGTGGGATCAAAAGAGTAGTGAATGGGAAGATTGTGGCACTCTGCTCTGTCAGTCCATTGGCCTGAAGAGTCCAGCCAGTATCACCATCAAATCTCGAACTCGCCGTTGAAACCATATCCCCCCAAGTGACCGAATAACTCAAGATGTAATTGATCCCTTGGCCAGTTTGGTTCCTTGTAGGGCAAGCACATCTAAGAGGAACATTGAGTCTTTGACCGGGAAATATATTGACTGTTGTTCCCCTAGTCCCATTTCTAATAGCTTGGCAAGTTGAGAGTCCTTGTAGAGTATCATTAGCGATAAGGAAGAAGCTTTCTCCAGGCTGAACAACGTAAGATGTGTTTGCTTGGTAGTACTGACCTGAACACGAGCAAGTAACAGGAACAAGAACCAGCTGGTTTGTATCAAATGTTGCTGTTTGAGGGACAGAGTTGATTGCCGCCAGCTGAGATGGGTTAGATCCCAAGAGGGTGGAGATTGAATCAACAGTTGTGTATGGAGGTTGAGCTCTGAAGGTGAGGTAGCTTTGGCAGGTCCTGTTGACGCCATTGCAGGAGTATCCCAGGGCTGAATTTGTTGTGACCGAACAATCGTTTGTCCCCTGGCCAATATAAGGTTGCTGAGCCTGAACACTGCAGAAGAAGAACAAGAGAAAACAGAAGGCAAAAGGAAGGAACC